GGGGGGGGGACACACACCGGGACCACCTCCGGGACTGATCCCAGAGGGGACGGGGGCCAGCTGGAGGTGGGAGGGGGGCTGTGCCATGCCAGGCTGGAGCCCACCACCTTGGCATCAGTTCAGGTGGGGGAGAGCAGCCCTTTGGGGAGGGGGGACTGGGCTGACACCAGGCTTTTGCCCCCCCCCAAAACGCCCAACGCGGGCGCAGGGACAGAGGGAACTCCCTGCCCAGCATGTTGGAGCAGAAGGTGAGCGGGGCTGGGGGGGCCTTGAGAGGCTTGGACAGGGCTGGAAGGGGGGTGTGAGAGGGTCTTACAGCCATGTATGCCCCCCTTTCCCCCCGCAGATCTACCCCTATGAGATGCTGATGGTGACGAACCGAGGCCGCGTGAAGCTGCCTCCCGGCGTGGACAGGACCAGGCTGGAGGTAGGGGCCTTGCCAGGGGTTTTATTGGGGGTTGGGGGTGCAACGTGGGGTCCCTGCACCCCGTCACCGACCCCTCTGCCCCCACACAGAGACACCTGTCCCCCGAGGATTTCCTGAAGGTCTTTGAGATGCCCCCGGAGGAGTTCAGCAAACTGGCCCTCTGGAAGCGCAACGAGCTGAAGAAGAAAGCCTTCCTCTTCTGAGCCCCGCCCGGCCCCGAGCTCAGTCCCTGTCGCACCGTGTACCCGCTTTAGGGCTCTCAGCCGGTTTTTAGGGCCCCTTTCCCACACCCCCAGACCTGCCCCCCCCCTCCCAGCCTCGCTCCTCCCGTGGGAAAGGGGCTCGGGGGGGGGGGGGCGCGAACCTGCCTGGCCACGGGGTGATGGGGCAGCCCCAGCCCCAGGGCAGGCACGGTTCAGCCAGGAGGGGTGGTTTGGGGGGGGGTCTCTGGGCTTTGTACCCCCTTTTTGCCCCCCCCTACACCCCTCCCAGGACTGCTGGCAGGGGCTCTGCTCTCAGCCGGCCAGGAGCACATTGGCTCCGGGGGGTGGGCACTGGATGGGAGAGGGGTTCCCTCCT